CTTAACCACTTGCTCTGAGTTTTGTTTCTGAATCTCCCAGGCTTGGTACTGTGACATTGTGTATCCACCTAACTGGATAAAAGATTTAATCTCCATTTAATTCTAACTCCCTGCCACACGCTGGCAGCTCACACTGGTAAGCTGGCTGGTGGCACAAACGGGTGAAGCCACATCTCTGCTTTTGGGCTGAAGGAACAGACACACCACACTTTTCTCTCTCTTTGCTCTCCCTCTTCCAGCTGCAAAGACAGAAGCAGCAATTCAAAATACAACAATTTGCACAGTTACTGGTACACTTGGAGCAGGAGTTCCACTTGTGAGGAAATGGAACTGATTAAAGTGTGATTTAGTATGAGAATAGTAATACCGTACTGGAATCCTGTAATGCACTTTCATCAGTGTTTCATATAATGCTAAAGTATGATGACGACTAGGGAAGTGTCATTTTCAAGTGAATGCCTTTAACTTACATCAAATCTAGTACAATATTTGGAGTCTTAGTTTTTGTGAACAGGATGAACAGACTATTTGAAAGACAGAAAAAAAAATCCCTTGCTGCTGCCAACTGCCATTAAGGTCTGCATAATACATGAGACTGGAGAAGAAAGAAGTAGATGAAATATTAACATAATGGGCTATTTAATATCAGTCTAGTCAATTGTAAGACAGGTCAAATGATGATGATACTTCAGCAATGCCACCCTGTGAAGGGTTCATTAGCAGAGGAAAATCTGAAATGCAGAACTATTACCAACCCAGAGGAATGGCATAAAGCTTAAAGTCACCAGCGGGACCTGATGCCATTAGCTACCGTGTGCCTATTTAAAACATCTCTGAAAGTGCTTCTTTGCTGCTAAAGGAAACCCAAACTGACAGCCCATGCCAGCAGCTGGTGGACCCAAAGCATTGGCACATTTCCACACTGGAAGTTCAGACTGTCAGAGCTTGATAGCGCAGCAGAAAGTCGTTTCTTGCCACCTAGGACATGTTTTCTCACACTTTGATGTCCATCATTTAGGAAAAAGACAGCAGCCCAAGTGCTAGGTAAACATTAAATAAACCCTATTTCCCATACTAGGAGGAATTTAGTCAGAAACGTGTGGGTGAAGTTCCTAAAGCAAACAAATGCAGAGATCCCATTATGGGGAACACACAGAGCAAATAGCTTGCTTTCTTCTGTGGTCAGAACAGAAGAGATTGGGTTACTGCTCTCTGACTCAGGAAAGATGATCCAGCTCATCAAGTTCTAATGGATTTTGAAGGAATTTTCTTCTTTACATTAGGCAAAGTCACATCACAACCACACAGTTACAGTACACAGAAAAGCACTAACTGAACCTAACAGCATGAAATTGGTGTTGTGAAGAAGCTTGAAAATTAGCGTGAATGCTGCAATAATGTCACGCAGAGCACAGACACGCACAGCTTGCTAGTCCAGAACAGAGTAACAGCATTCTTACTTTCTACCTATTGCTTTGATACACACACTGATGTAAGTGAACTGACCACTGAACATTTAGTGTGAATGAAGGTCTTCCCAAATTATAGCTACTGGTTTACTGTTTTAGATTATTAAATATGGCTGCTTAAGAGATGTGCTATGGCACGAATTGGTGAGATTGCTAGTGCCCCAAATACTCTCAATTACTTTACAGAAGAGCTATTTATGTCAGTTTTTAAATACACAAGACCAGTTTTTAAATACGTAAGACCTGAATATGTGCACATCTGCCTCAGTGGTACTAAAGAAACAGCAAGATAGAAGGATTTATTAATGTCTAAAATTCAGACAGCTCTGACCACAAATCTTCATAATGTAGACTATGTGCTAAAGCAGATTGCTGCCTCTCTCTTTGGTTATGCTATTAGCTATAAAAGCATTGCTCTGAGCGACAGCAAGGCATGCACAGTAATGCAGTTGCTTTCTAAACTATAAAATTAACATATTCGGGTTGTTGAACCTGCACACATCTTCCTGAGCCTCCAAAACTGATTTAATACATTCAGTAAACAGAAGGCCAGCTATCTCTATAGTTAGTCCACTGGTGAGCTGAGAATATGGCTTAGTTACACCACTGAAAGCAACATGAACAGGCTGTGTAAAAAGTTTGGAGAAAGTCTTTGAACAGATTTCTCATGCAGTGCTTAAAGATAAATGCCTCCTTGATTTGTGGGTCTGTTAAAAAATCCTACTGCAAACTCTGAATCATAGAATCATAAAGGGTGGAAGAGAACAAGTTCTACTGCCAACCCAGAACTAGCCCTGCAACCCCATCACCACTAAACCACTGGTCAGGCCCAGATCCTGACAACTCTTCAACACCTCCAGGGATGGTGACTGCACCAGCTCCCTGGGCACCCTATTCCAACGCTTGACCACCCTACCAGTGAATTTTTTTTTCCTAACATCTAATCTGAATCTCCCCTGTCTGACCTTAAGGCCATTTCCTCTTACTCTCTCACAGTAGACACAGTAGTAGAGACCAGTCCCCACCTGGCTACACCCTCCTTTCAGGGAGTTGTAGAGAGTGAAGAGGTCCCCCCTGAGCCTCCTCTTCTCTAGACTCACAAACCCAGCTCTTTCAGCTGCTCCTCACAAGACAAGCTTTCTAGACCTTACATGAGCTTTGTTGTCCTTTGCTGGACACGCTTCAGCATTTCAATTTCCTTTTTAAAGTGAAAGGTCAAAACTGGACACAGCACTCGAGGTGTGGCCTCACCAGTGCCAAATGCAGAGGGACAATCACTACCACACTATTTCTGACACAGGCCAGGATGCCACTGGCCTTCTTAGCCACTTGGGCACACGCTGGCTCATATTAAGCTGGCTGTCAACCAGCACACCCAAGTCCCTTTCTGCTGAGCAGCTCTTGAGCCACTCTGCCCTCAGCCTGTAGCACTGCATGGGGTTGCTGCAAGCCAAGTGCAGGACCCAGCACTTTGCCTTACCCAACCTCGTGCACTTGTCCTTGGCACATTGTTTGTCCAGGTCTGTCTGCAGAGCCTTCCTACTCTTAAGGAGATCAACACTCCCATCTGACCTGGTGGTGTCTGCAAATTTACTCAGGATGCACTGAATCCCCACGTCCAGATCATTAATAATAGTGTTAAAATAGGACTGGCCCAAATACTGAGCCCTAGGGAACACCACTAGTGACCAGCTGCCAACTAGACTTAGCTCCATTCCCCACCACACTCTGAGACTGACAACCATTGGAGAGTCCACCCATCCAAGTCCCAAGCAGCCAGTTTTTCTAGGAGGATGCTGTGGAAGATGGTGTGAAATGCTTTACTGAAGTCTAGATAAATATCATCCACAGCCTTCTCACCAGGCCATTTAGTCATATGAGATCAGATCAAGCAGGACCTGCCTTTCTTCAATCTATGTTTTCTGGGCTTGATCCCTTGGTTGTCCTGCCTGTGCCATGTAATGGCACTCAGGATGATCTCTTGCAGAACCTTGCCCAGAGCTGAGGTCAGGCTGACAGGCCTGTAGTTCCCCAGATCATCCCTCCAACCATTCTTATAGATGGGTGTTACATCTGCTAATCTCCAGTCACCTGGAATTTCTCCAGTTAAGCAGAACTGCTGATAGATGATTGAAAGTGTTTTGGCAAATTCACAGAATCACTAAGCTGGAAGAGACCTTCAAGATCATTGAGTCCAACCCATGCCCTAATACCTCGACTACACCATGGCACTGAGTGCCACATCCAGTCTTTTTTTAAACACATCCAGGGATGGTGACTCCGCCACCTCGTCGGGCTGGCCATTCCAGTACCTTATTGCTCTTTCTATTAAAATCTTCTTCCTAATAACCAACCTATATTTCCCTTGACACAGCTTGAGACTGTGTCCTCTGGTTCTGCGAGTTGCTGCCTGGTGAAAGAGACCAACCCCACCTGACCACAGCCACCTTTCAGGAAGCTGTAGAGAGTGATAAGGTCACCCCTGAGTCTCCTTTTCTCCAGGCTAAACACCCCCAGCTCCCTCAGTCGTTCCTCACAGGGCTTGTGTTCCAAGCCCCTCACCAGCCTCATTACCTCCTCTGGACATGCTCAAACATCTCAACGTTGTTCCCAAACTGAGAGGCCCAGAACTGGACACAGTACTCAGTAGTGCCAGTGAGTACTTCTGCCAGCTCCCTCATTACTCTGGGGTGGATCCCATCAGGGCCCATAGCCCTGGGAGTGTCTAACTGGCACAGCAGGTCATTAACCATCTTGTCCTGGACTACAGGAGCTTCACTCATTTGCACATCAACAACTTCCATCTCAGGGAGCTGCGTATCCTGAGGACAACTGATCTCGATATTGAAGACCGAGGCAAAGAAGGCATTAAGTACCTCTGCCTTTTCCTGTTACTACACCACCCTCTGGATTCAACTAATGGTGAAGACACTCCTTGACCCTCCTTTTGGTGCCAATGAACTTACACAAACTTTTTTTGTTGTCTTTAACTGTAGTGGCCAAATCAAGTTCTAGCTGGCCTTTATCCCTTTTAATCTTCTTCCTACATGACCTTGTGACATCCTTATAGTTCTCCCAAGTTACCTGACCCTCCTTCCAGAGATTATATCTTCTCTTTTTCCCCCCTAAGTTCCAGCTTAAGTTCTCTGTTTAACCACACTGGTCTTTTTCCCATATAACTTGTCTTTCCACAAATGGGGACAGTCTGTTCCTCAATATTTAACAATTCCTTTTTAAAGCCTATCCAGCCTTCCTGGACTCCTTTGCCCTTCAGAACTGACTTCCAAGGGACTTGGTCAATCAATGTCCTAAACAGGCCAAGATCTGCTCACCAAAGTCCAAGGCAGAAGTTTTGCTGGTTCCCCTCCTTACTTCACCCAGTACAGAAAACCCTAACAGTTTGTGGTCACTCTGCCCAAGATGGCCACTGACCATCATATCACCCACCAGCCTTTCTTTGCCCACAAGCAACAGGGTCCCTTCTCTGTTAGGCTCATTTACCAGTTGTGTTAGCTAGAAAGTCTAAGAAAACTGTCTTCCACACACTCTAGGAACCCCCGAGGCTGCTTCCTCTCTGCTGTACTTCCAGCTGACATCTGACAAGTTGAAGTCATCCATGAGCACAAAGGCTGGTGACTGTGATGCCTCTGCCACTGCTTGTAGAATGCCTCATCAGCCTGTTCCTGGCTTGGTGGTCTCCAAGGGACTCCCACCATGACATCTGCCCTGCTGACCTTCCCTGTGATCCTTACCCAGAGGCATTCAACCTTGTCATCTTCATCATCAATTTCAATACTATCAAAACACTCCCTATTGTACAGTGCCACCCCACTACCTCTCCTGCTTTGCCTGTCTCTTCTAAAGAGCTCATATGCAGCCACTGCAGCACTCCCATGATGACAGTCATCCCACCATGTTTCTGTGATGGTGACAACATCAAAACCTTCCTGCTGAACAATGGCTTCCAGCTCCTCCTGCTTGCTGCCCACACTGTGTGTTGGTGTAGATGCACTTTAGCTGGGTCAATGGTTTTGCCTGCATCACAGACCTGCCACTCTAGGTTCATCTCTAGTGATCCTCCACTTTCTGAGGTGCATTTGACTGGTACATTTGCCTCAGGGGAGGCAGAGAATGGCTCTATCAGCCCCTCTCTTCCTTAGATGCTCTAATGTCACTTAACCCTTGCACCCCTGCTTTGAGTAGCACTGCTAAGCAGAGCAGATCACTGACCTACTTGCACTCACACAGGTGTTCTGTTACCCTCTGATGCCAGTGCCAGGCTCTGGCACTCCCTGAAGTCTGCCTGAGCACTAACACAGCTGTCTGAAGCCCAAGTGACTGTGCAAATATTCATCTCTTGTGCATATCAAGTAGCCTTAAACCTGCCACAAGAAAATTAAGGTTACTCTAGGTATTTATATATAAAGACATTGAGTACCAAATTACTGGTCTTATGCTTAAAAGATCCTGTAGAAATACCTGATAGTTTTCACATATAAAAGCTTCAAATTCTAAAGTAAGAAGCAGATCCATTCCCACAAACTCAAAGTTATTCACACATCTGTTTAAAGGGTTTTAGGTTATTCTACTACCTCAGGCTTTAGTATTAGTCTCTTCAGTGTGTTATCAGCCTCAGAAATGAGAGGAAGCTCTAAAGCTACAGTCAAACTCACCCAAAGCTCTTAGATAGCAGAAGAATTACAATTTAAAGTGCTTACTTTCCACCTTTGAAATAAGACCTTCTACTGACTACAAACAAACAAAATCTTATTAATTTCTGTTACTGACTTACTAATTCTACTATTCTCTTTTCCCCAAATTAAGTACATCCCAAATGATCACATTTGCTTTCTTGTTTCAAACAGTGATACTGAAATGTTTTTTTCTTCCTGGTCCATAATAGTCCGCATCTTTGACTTTAAAATGCTGTAGCTCTCAGTGTTGAAAGATTCCTGTAAGTGATGCAGTAAAGAGAGAACAAATCAAATATCCTTTCCCTTTTTATAAAAACATTAACTAAAAATATGTCTTCCAATTACTGGTTTTAATGACCAGTATTCCCCTAGGAAAAAATCTTCTCTTTGTTTTTATGGCCCCAAAGGAAATTCAGTTGTAATTTAGACTTCAAAAAACCCCAAGTAAATAATAAATTATATAAAGTTTACCAATCATTCAAAGATAGTAGTTTGCCAGAAGCCAGTATTTGAAGAAAATGCTTTTTGAGCTTAGTACTATTTAGATAACTGTAACTTCCCTAGGTTTTCTTTTTACACTCTCTAGTCGTGTCAAAGGACGGAAATTTGACTTCCTGCTTCCCTCTGTAGTGGTCAATCTACAGTCCTTCTGCAGCCCCTTCAGCAGCTCCATTAACTCCCGTTTTTCCAGCTCTGCCTGCTCCAGCTCTTGACGGTGCTGCCTCTCCGCAGCCATCAGAGACCGTACATCTGACATCATTCGTGACATCTGGCTCTGAAATGCAAATAGAAATTTACTGCAAGAAACAAACCCTCTCCTAATGATGGTGCAATGAAGTCAAACTGGCCACACACGTAGGGTGGTGGAGTCTTCGGAATAAAAACCACCAAAATAATTTTTTGATAGTGCAACAAATGTAAACAATTTGAGACACAATCCAGCATTCATATTGTGGGATAGTTTTGGTCTAAAGATTCCCATGTTTTTCAAAAATATTTAGTTTTTTTATTTTTTTTTCTTACGAAGTATGATAGAAACAGCCAACTTACCCACATGCCACTTTTATTTTCTATTTCAAGAATCCAAATAAAATATGATTGTGGTTATGTTCAGATACATTCTTCAAGGATTTAACATCAAATTCAGTAAAAATAAAAATGTAAACTATAAGTTTTTAAAATCTTTATAAAGCTTTTAAAAATGATTTCTTTAAAAATATTTTTTCTGTGATATACTAAAAAGAGGATGAATAAAAGGATAAGACAGTCTTGCTTGTTACTTGATGAAGTTTACTGTGAACCTTTCCAACCTTCTGGTCACAGTGCAAATACCACTCTTGGCAGTAGGGCTCTGTGTCAGCTCTGGACTAAGCCACTCTGCACAGCAATTAAAAATGGAGCTGGATGTTTAAATTACATCCAGTTTGTGATGCATACTCTACATTTAGACACTGAAATCAGTTTCAGATTGATCTGCTGACAATGTTACGCACGCACAGAACACGGGTGGAGTACCCAGGTGAGCTCCACTGAACCTGAAGCAGACAAACCACAGGAATACAGCATCCAGCCTGCTCCTCCACAGAGCTAACCTGGAAAAGCTTAGATGGTTTTGCTTTCCATACTTAATGCCATTTTCCTCTATATGAGACTTTATTTACAAAATAAGAAACTGCTACTGGGAAAAGCAAAAACCTAGACTTGTTAAGAGAGGAAAAAAACAAGCATTGTATTTACCTTTAGTTCTTCAATTTCATTTTGCAGAATACTCTCTTTTTGGACCATATGCCTTCTCTGTGAATCTAACCTTGACTCCATCTCATGTTTTGCCTCTTCCACTCTGCAGATCATTTCTGACCTAAAAAGTTTATTTCTCCTTGTTAAGTCTTGTAAGCAGAGAAAAGAATGATCTTCAAAATCCAGAAAGCCTTCCGGCAGCCAAGCAGACTGAACTGATTCCCATCAAGCTCTACAGGATGCCTCTGTAGAGGCATGATTTATTAATTTAAAAAGAAAAACAGTATAAAGAAGTGCATTGTGCCCAGGGGCATTAAAGTGCCTATGAGGGCCTATAGAGGGACAATCATATCATATTCCTCAAATAAAATATTCCAAGAGCTCAAGCAGGTGTATTTATGACTTTAAGTGATTTTCTGCTGTTTGCCTACAGTATGTTCTTCCTGAGTGTTATGAAATAGAGGCAGCCAAGACAAAAAGTCTGAATCCTATAGTACTGCTAAACATGTAACGAAGTGAGATAGCCTGAGTGTGTGGACATGGCAGGCACAGTTCAGTGGTGGGCCTGGCAGTGCTGGATTAACTGCTGGACTCAATGATCTTAAAGCTCTTTTTCAATCTAAATGATTCCATGGCTCTGTGTAATCTTGTTCACTTTTATGGTGGATACTAAATGATAGTATGCAGTAAACTGTTACAGCCTAGTCACTCACACAGCTCCACAGCCAAAACCAGATGGCACTACATTAACCTTCTGAGTTCAGAAACCAGGTAGCAGAATCACTTGTGTCCCAATGCATTTAAACCCTATTTGAGCCTGACTTCACAGCAGTGTTCAAAAGCACAACACTTAGGAGCTGAAAGATACAAATGGGAAGGAGTGTGAGCGGGGAAAAAACAGTACAACTGGAATATAATGAAAAGGGAAACCTACGTAAGAGGAAAACAATGATGCTGGTAAGAAGAGCCATATTCACTGATTGTTTATCTACCAGAACTTAAAAAAAAAAATCAAAATTAGACCTTCAGTGGTTGAATCTACCGGTACCTGCCAAAATAATTAGATTTTTATCTTCTCAATCTATAAAAACATAAACTAAATACAATTATTAAATAATGTGGCTTCGTCTGTAAAACAGGCCAGTGGAAAAATTAAATTGCCAGCTTCCATTTTCTTAGGTTTTTTGTAATTTTAAATAGCAATTCTGTTCAACTGCAAGCAATTTTAAGCAAGTTCAACTGCGAGGTATTTTAAGATTTATGGTAACTTAGAAAAAAACGCCCTGTGGTGTTACATTTCAGCTAAATGGCATGCTCTGTCTCACCCCTCGAAGATGTATGGTTTATTGCAAGCCTGTGATCCTCCCCTGAAGTCTCAGGTATCTGCAATCCCATTGGCACAAGTCTTATTCATCGCCCACTTTGAATCTCCCTCTAAAGCTGTGAGAGGGAGATGAGATTCTCTCTTGGCCCTCCTCTCCCTGGGCTCTCCCTCTCTCCCCCTTCCCCCCTTCTCCCTCAGAAGCCATGCTGCTCCCGGGGGTGGGACCCCCAATAAACCCTCAGCTAATTAGCACCCTCAGAAGGCGTGTGGAGTCTCCTTGCCTGCTGGCTGTTACCAGGGAACACACAGCTTAGGGGGCCCTCCGGGGACTCCCCAGGGAGCCCCCTCAAACGAACTGCAACAACACCCAACAAAAAAGAATCAAAACAGCAAGAATTTAAAATCTATGCTGACACATAATAAAATTCTGGCCCGTTAGCATCAAGTAATTAACGGACCATTTAACACATACCAGAATGCAGCGCTAGTATTTCAAAGTGCTTGACGCAATGCCTTTAAGCCCAGCCCAAGAGAGACCCGAGAGGAAGGGAAGCTTTGTACCGAAGCAGCTCCAGCTCGGTCCTCAGCTCGGCCACGCAGTTGTGCTGCGAGTCCTCCGCGCTGAGCAGGGTGTAGCCGCAGCCGTTGGGGCACTCCCGGCTCCGGTACTCGCACACCGCCAGGTGCCCGTCCAGGTTACGCCGCTCGATCTGCACGCTGCAGCCTGAGCAAGGGGGAGCGAGGCAACACAGCCGGCTACAACAAAAGCATTTGAGTCTTTCCAAACAAAAACACTCAAGAAAGGAAGGTGAGGGAAGTGATTTCTTTAGGATATGAAATATGACAGTTACACATATGTAGCTACTCGTACAACGCTGTTAAGAAGTCTTATTAAGACACACGTTAACTGAAAATACTGAAGGGTTGGAAGGAGGTATTTTCTATAAAGTTTACTACTGCTGGTCTGCAATTACATCAACTTCAGTAATGACAATCCTGATGCAAAACTAAGACACTAGCTACCATCATAGATTTCAATGACTGGAATTTATAAAGAATACACATGTGTAAAAAATATTATACTATTAAACTTAAAGAAAAGTCCAAAGGTATAGTAAAGAGAGATGTGGGTGAGATGGAATGTAAACTTGTTTTCCAGACAATTTGTTGGTCTTATCCATAATGTACTGGACCATAATAATAAGTTAGAACATTTATTTATGAACATTTAATAACTCGTACAAAGATAGAAATATTTCCACAGAAATTCTAGGATACAAACTTTGCTGTTCTGTAGTAATTGAAAGTAAAATGTAAAGAATCAAAAATAAGCACTATGTAAATTATTGCTATATTTAACACTCTAAACTTGAAGTTTGTAGTCTCAACTTATGAAGTCAGACTCAGGAAGTTGTAGTTTAATTGTTGAGGCTCACTTTGTTGAAATACACACTTGCATTTAATTTGAAGAGAATATCAACTTAAGGAAACTGAAACAATGGAGTATTGAAACTTCCCAACAAACCATACCAGAAAATGACAAATGAGTACTAGAAGAGCTTTACTAATAAATATAATGATTGGTAATTGAGGTACTCAAAACACACTCCATGTATTTTTGGGAAAGAGTTGAAGAGATGTAAGAGCCTTCACATGACAAACACCAGACACCCAGTGCGGTGTAAAAACAGAAATCTGTAAAAAACTACTGTTTCTGTAGGAAGTAGAACAGGTGAATCAATCATCTGCAGAAGTCACTTCTGAGAAAAATTATAACTTCTAGCAGAGCAGGTCTAGTACCTTAACCATCTCATAATTAATTACAATGGCAGATTCAACTATGCCTTTAGCATCATTAATTAGATTTTACCTTTACCTAGGACCAGACAACATTTCAAATTAATTCAACTTTCAACAGTATGTTCCTTTTTAGAGATATGTTTCTTTCTCAGGAGGTGTAGCCTTGCTTTAAATAAAAACCTCAATTCTACCTAGAATTTAGCTTAGAATAATTCTTTTTTTCCAAGGTATATTCTTGTTAAAGCTATGTCACAGAGTTGATACCTGCACATGCACCAGGCAACCAGGTGTTTTACAAATAAATTATGATCCCCAAGTCTTCTGCAGGGGCTACTGCATTCATTCCAAAATCCAAACATGCAGTCAGAACTGGAAAACAAACTCATAACTTCACAGAAAGCAAAACTAATGAACTACTACATTTTCATACATTCAAAGTTTTCCATATTAATTTTGGTTAGTTTTTGGATAAGAAACAGTTGCTAACCATCATGACTGCCATAAACTGGTGTTACAGTTTGTTCAAAAACACTGCTGTAAAGAGCAAATCATGCCAAAGCTTTGCATTTCTGTTAAGAAATAATGGCCATTATTGCAGTTCTATTAATGGGAAGATGACAAACATGTTTGTTTAATATAAAGGATTCAACTTCTTTGTTACTCACCAGCATTGGAGCAAGGTATCTGACTGTACTCACACTCCCTTTCATGCCTGTCTATAGACTCCAGAGAACAAACCATTTCACAGCCATACTCTCTGTTTCTGCAATGTAGCTGAAGACGGTTTAAATCATTTTTCATATATCTGCATGCAAAGAAAATAATTTGTTCTTAAATCTGGGAACATTATTGAAACATTTGTATTTTCAACTTTTGGGAAAAGAAAGCAAGATTCTAATCTCCATTAGGAAAAATTGTGAGTAACTAGCCGAATTTATTTCTTTTTTTTAAGAATTCAAGTGACCATATCAGGAAAAAACAAAAAAGAAAGAGTGAAAGAATGTTAATGGAACATTCAGTCTCCAAATTTAAATGAGCAAATAAAATCTTTATTTTGGAACAATTTTTAATTGTGACTGTTCACTGGCTCAGCAGATATTATCAATTACAAACACCAGGGCTACTCAATTGCTATTTAAGTTCTGTGGTTCTAAACATGCCAGACTAAAGGACTACAGTAAGTACAGATAAAACAATTTAAAAATTAAACTCTAGTGCTCTGTCTACACTGTAGCTAACTTCCACATATAAAATCTCATGAATGAAATTACATTATGAGTACTAACAAAGTTAAATTTACTGTATCTGGAGACTTTAAATACATAACTGTTACTCTGAGCAAGATTAGATAATGCAGATGTTAAACAGCAAGCAGCATCTATTGTTAAACTGTTTTGTTCTGACACTAGTAAGAATTAACAGTTTAAAACAGAACAGTTTGTTTGGGAAAGACCAACAACAATCATGGTCCAAGTGCCTGACCAGTTATAGAAGGCACTAGTGAGAACAGCCTGATTTACACGACAAGGTGGTTCACAACAGACATTCCTATGTCTAAAGATCTTTTTTAAATAGGATTTGAAGGTCAGAAATTTGGTTAATATCTCCAGAAACTGTTAATTACAAACCCCACTACAGCATCTAACTAAGACTGAAAAGAGATACAGAGTGTGCAGTGACTGTCATCCAGAGTCACTTCGCTTGCTTTCTCTAAAATCAAGCATGGAAAAGTTTTGATGCTGTAAAGGACATTCAGAATAATATCCAGACAGGCATCTAGAATCAACATTCAGGATATAAAAAGGTGGAGAACAAACTAAGTGTCCCTTCAGTTTTGAAATCCGAACACCCTAACAGTTATAATAAACAGAAAATGCCAATGCTTTCATGTAAGTAGTTGGTGTCTGCCGCAGGCATACCGGATAAAGACAGCCTGAGCAACAGTATCCACAGGAGATGAAGCTGTGCAAGCGAAACAGAAATCCTAAATTAATGTAATCTCAGCACACAGCAAGATTATTGGATACCTGTAGAGAGGTCGCAGCAAAGCCACATCAATCACTTGTCTGTCTTCAGGGCAGTTGCTGTGGTGAACAAGCCACCCATGGATACAGGCGGTGCAGAAAGCGTGCTCGCAAGGAGCCTGCAGCGGATCTTCCAACACGTCTCGGCAGATGGAGCACAAGAGCCCCTCGTTAACATAGCCCACGAAGCGCTCAATATCGTAACCCATGCTCTCCACACCTTCAACCTGCTCAAAAACACCAAACACACAGAAAGAAAGCAATATTTGTGCTGAATCTGTATGGGTAGGTCCACAAAGAGGCCTGACAGCAATTCTAAAAGCATGGAGGCCATAAAATGAATAAAGAAGTGAATGTGTGAATGCAAACAAACATTTACACACTTCAGAGACTTTCAGATTTAAGTGGGAATTTGAGAATTGTACTGCTGGATGTCAGAATCACAATTTTCTATCAAGAAATTCTGAACTCTGAAAGCAAAGACTTGGGCACAGTGGAGCTGCGCTTCTTCTGAATGCTGTTATTGAGCATAATGGTAGCAGCCACTGTGAAACATACAGTTTCTATTTACACCAATCCCACCTGAAGCAGAAACATCAAAGAAGTTCAAATGCAAATGTTTGCTTTCCATTTTAGTACCTTTCATATAATGCCTAACAAACTTACAAAACTGTGCTCTTACCAACAACAGCTGCGGTACTTTCAGCTAGCAAATCCTGGATTGATGAACTGCACATCACTTAAGATGTTGCTTTCATGCTGAAAAAAAGATTCTCTAGTCACTGTAGACCTCCATTTCAGAGGAAACAGCATGAGATCTCCACATGCTTAGAGACATACTTAATATTCAGGAAGTAAAAGAAGCCAAAACTGCAGCTAACCCTGAAATCATGAAGAGATACTGTCTTTTCCTACATGATCTATTTTATAAAACTGAGAAGCTTTTCAATGGATTTCAAAGCTTTGTGAAGAAGAACTAATGGGCAATCTGCCTTCATCTAAATTCTATAATGAAAAACCTTGTGGAATTTGGCAAGACTCCACAGAACTTGCTTAAAAGAGTAAGTTTTAGGCTTCACATTGCTCCTTGACATATAAAGTTACTTTTGTAAACCCACTGAGACTCATGAAAGAGGTTTTCATCAGTCATGAGGTTTTCTGAATAAAATAGAAAAGGAAGATATCTTACCTTTGTAGATTTCACTACATATACATGTAGTTTGCCCAAATACTTCAGAAACAGTTTTATGATCAGTAAGGCATGTAATGCTTCCTTCAGTTTCTCTTCACTGCTTTAGTATGCCTGTGAGAAAAATTAGAAAGAGTAAGGCTCAGTAGTGTTTCCTAAGTTACTGAATCCTATGTCTAACAAGCCAGCTACTGTCTAACAGCCCATTAAAACCAAGTTTTCCAAAGCAAGCCACTGAAAACCTACAATTCAACACAAAAAAATTGACTAGATTAGGGTGAAAATAATCTTCAGTCTCTGTTTCAATTCCTACTAATGCAGATATTTATCACAAAACTGAACACCCTACTAATGATCAATTTTGAATCCAGTTTTGTTTGTAAGACTGAAGACAACAGAATTAGTATTATTGAAAAGCAGCAACTGAAATCTGGTAAAATTATATTCCTCAAAAAGATAGAAGTTCCTTATCGACCTGTTCTAATCCAGTCAGGACAGGCAGTTCATTTTTGAAACAAACCTATTACAGTCAAGTTTGTTGTATTGGCAAATATTATTGCTGTGTAGCATAACTAAGGTTGCTCACTTAAAACATCATAAAATATGTGATTATTAAACCCCTTAAGTTATGCTAGAGAACTTAAACAGCACATATAGATTAGATAATATGAACTGTAAGCCTAGCACCTTGATTTGGTTTGGTGGATCCAAGAGGATTCTGCTTTTAGAAAACTTTCAAGTACAGGTAAGAGAGAAAAACGAAGTACTTCTACTGTCCTACTCTACTGTTCTACTGGAATTGTGGATGCTGTGAGCTAGATTTTGCACAAATACTGCTAGTCCCTGAGGATCAAGTCTTCCAAGTCACTCTTCAGCATATTTTAGCGAGTTTGAAGACTAACAGAATGCAAGAAAGAGCATTTTTATCAAATGGGGAACAAAATACTTTGTTTGTGCTTAACAGGGAAGTGAAGTGCAACAGCAACAACAAAATATATATATTATATACAAGTGCCTCTGTATATAAATATATATGGATGTATAAAGCCCCAGCCAAACTGAAGTTCAAATGCAGGGCGGATGGGAACTTTGAGGCAAAAAATACAACCAAGGGGGATTCTTCAGGACATTTTCAAGACTCATGTTGGAGCAGCAAAACACAGCACTGGAACCCTTGTGGCCATGGATCTGGGACCTATGACAACAGCTGCTACTGAAGTTCCAGCCTTCTCCCAGTAGAAGTTTCCTGACCTGAAGAACCAGAGATGTTTTATTTTCTTATCAACTTCAAGAGATGCACCTTAGTCAAGAGATAAGCAGAGGGAGAGTATCTGATGAATGTCATGCACTTTAGCAGTACAGCTCACTTTACCACAAAATGAGATAATTTTCAGCTTCTGCTTATCCCCAGAAACTTCTCTCTTCTCCATTTGACCTCAAAACTTATTTTCCCAATTCTACTACAATTCACCAATTGTCACACTCCTTTTTTGATTGCACCTAGAAATTATTTTGTTGAGAGATGTCAGTTGCTTAGCTTAAGCAAATAACATCTAAATAGAATAAGTCACATAGAATTACAATACTCTGTGATTTAGAATGCTGTAGGTAGCTTAGGTTGCTGGAAGCCTAAGGCTGAAAGCTATGGACTTTGTCCTAGACATGCTTTTGGCTGGAACTGAGTTAATTTCCTTTGAGTTAATTTCCTTAGCTGCTACAGAGCTGTGCTTTGCTTTTAGAATGAGAATGTTGCCAACACACCAATGTTTTAGTTGTTGCTAAGTAATGTTTATCCTAAGTCTAGGACTTTTAGTTTCCCATGCTCTACCAGGGAGCAGGTGCACAAGTAGCACAAACCAGAAGATAAGGAGCTCATGGTCATCAGCAGAAGCTGCAACTCAAGATAAGAACAGTTAATAGCTTGCCTGAGAGAGAATCCAATAAACTGTTAGAAGACCCCAGACCAAAAATCACCACTGGACTAAAAGGGCCGTGTGAAGAACATGTAGGGAGGATGCATAAATTGTAAGGGTATCATTGTGCACAGATTTCTTTGTTTGGGAGAGAGAGCACACAAACTATGACATGCTATTTGCTTCTTATTGTTGCATGTTTTATTTTTCCCTGCAGACAAAACGGTGTTTTGTCTTCTCCAGGCTTCAGAGGTATCAAGTGATTTTTCAACAGTTGTCATCCCACGCTGTTTGCCAGGCAGATGCACATCCAAAAGCTGCCTTGAGTTGTGGACTTCACTGCCCTCAAATAGAGATTTGGTGTGGATATGGTAACAGGGAGAATACAGGTGGGATGTAGTTCCCAACATCATCACATAACGTGCTAAATGCCTGGTACTAATTAAAGATATTCCACTGTGAAAGTCAGGACACTGAAATAAAATTAGTGATCTTCATTTTTGGATCTGCAGTAGCTTCTGATTTTTAAAAAATGCTTCTTTTTCATGTGACAAAACAAAGCATAACTGTTTGAAAGTCTGGAGTGAACCACACAGAACTACAGATGTGCATGGCTAGGACAGCATTTTCAGAAATGCTGGAGGAACACAGTCTATGCAGGGCCCAGAGATGAGGTGACACTGAGACATGACATTTCTTCAGCCTTTATGTTCACAAATCCTGCTATACAGAAGCAGTATTTTAGTGTGTTTTTTGCCACTCTGACACTGTAAGCCACTCCAAGGCAGCGTCAGTGCCCAAAGGGGCAGACTCACCCCTTCACATGTGACTGTACAAGTGGTTTCTCAGGCACTTGATGCATCACTCTCAGTAACTGACCTGTTTTAAGACTGAATTGGGGAAATAAATTAACTTTGGCAGTTTTCTTACGGCAGCCCAAGCCTATCTATCCACAAATTAATGTGCTCCCACCTCCCTCCACCTCCTCCTTTGAATCAGTTAGAACATTTAATTTGCCCCTTTCCTGAACTGGCTCATGCAACTCACCAGACAACTATACCCTGATTTGATTTGTTAAGCTAGAATTCCTAGTAGATGGCTCAGCAAAAGCTCGAGGGACTGTGTAAGCAGGGCATGACCAGGGATAAGAAACTGCAGCCAGGGCAGAAAGGGAAGAAAGACAGACAGCAGCAGTGGTCAAGGATGCTGAGGGGTGCTACTCCACTCCCTCAGCTCAGCTCCCCAGACTGGTACACTGGAGAGTTGGATGAACATTTGTGTAAGAGAAAAGGGACAGAGAAATAAATGATCAGCAACACCACCTTACACTGATGCAAACAACTGATTTTTTTTTTAAAAAAAGCTTATATAAAAAATACGTGGCAACTTAAGGCCTCTTCCAGGAACTACATAACGACTGTAGCTATTCTGACAAAGAACATTTTTGTATAACACTTGCTGTCCTGCTAAGCCTACTCAGAACTGTGCCACCCATGACCTGCCTTGCACAGACCAGAGTCCAGAGAAGGGCAATGGAGTTGGTGAAGGATCTGGAGCACGAGTCCCATGAGGAGCGGCAGAGGGAGTTGGAGTTGTTTAGCCTGGAGAAAAAGAGGCTCAGAGGAGACCTCATCGGTCACCTGAGAGGAGACTGCAGCCAGGTGAGGGCCGGTCTCTTCTCCCAGGCGACCAGCGACAGGATGAGAGGCCACCGGCTCAGGCTGTGCCGGGGGCTGGGTTTCAGGCCGGACAGCAGAAAGAATTTCTTTACAGAAAGGGTGGGTCAGCCACTGGAATGGGCTTGATGATCTAGAAATCTTTTCCAATCTAATTAATTCTGTGGCCACCTTCGAGGCGGTGCAGGGCCGGGCTCTGCCATCCCAGCCAAGCCCAGGGTCAGCGGAGCCCGCTCCCCTCGGAGCTGTGCCAGGGGAATTCTGTACAGCAACGGGGGAAAGGCCTCCGGATTCGGCCTGGGAAGGCGCTTCGGGGACGGACAACGATCCTGGTCACAGGGCACAGAGCTGGCCTGGACACATCTGGAGAAGGGACCCGACACCAAGAAACAGCAGCTGCGCTGCCTCAGGCAGCGACAAACACCCTTACAGCTGCACACACCCTGCCCGCTCCCTTCCCCACACGCCAGCGATGCTGCCGCCGGCCCGGCGCAGGGCCCTGACAAACGCTGAGCACAAACCCCGCGCAGCACCTCCCTGCCCGGGCTCCGCTGCCCGGCCCGGCCCGGCCCTCGACCCTCGCCCCGACCCGCTCGGCCCCGCTCACTCACCCCGCCCGCCGCCGCTCGCTGTCGCGCAACCGAGATTCCCTTTACGGCCGCCCTCGCTCGACGGCGGCGCGGCGGACAGCCGCTCCGCCATGCTGCGTGTGGCACAGATGCCGCAGGCCGGCACTGCGCATGCGCAGGACAGCGCCTCCCGGGGCGCGAAACGCCTTTCCAGGGCCCCGTCCCGCGGAGCGGCCTGCGCGCACGCGCGCCCGGCGGCAAGGGAAGGCTGCGCAGGGCGCACGCGCGGTGCGGCCGGTGGGGCTGCCGGGAGCGCGCGGCGGGACAATTGAGCGCAGAGGCGGGACCGGCGGCGGGAGCGCAGGTACGGGAGCCACGGGCGGGGGCCTGGCGGAAGCGACCCTGGGAAAGAGCCTACAAATAATCCAGCTCCAGCTCCCCTGCCGTGGGCAAGGGCAGCTTTCACTAGGTCAGGTTGCTCAGAGCTTCATTCTGCCTGGCCTTCAGCCATGGGGCATCCACAACTTCTCTGGGCAACCTGTTCCAGCGCCTCACCATCCTCAGAGTGAAGAATTTCTGCCTTACATCTAATCTAGACCCGCTCCCTCAGTTTGAAGCCATCCCCCCCTTGTCCTACCGCTACATGCTCTTGTAAAAATTCATTACACTACTTGTGATCTGAAGGGATTTTTCAGTAATGTTGATGTTCAAGGCGATGCACTCGCTGCCTGCAGTTTAAGTGAGTAAAAGCTGATGCTGGTCTCTGCAGCTGCCCACAGCCGCTGTTCTGCCTCTGCGTGTGCACGGAGCTCTGCATGTGTAAAATCTTGAAAGTTCTTTGTACGTGTATTTAATTTTCAGTGCAGCTACCAATGCACCCTTAAGGACCAAAGTACTGAACCGAATTCAATGCGTGACCAAGCAGAGGCGCCCATGAGACGATTTGGGCTGTGGTTTCGTGGTGCGCTGGGTTTGGTCAGGCACGGTTGCTAATAGCAGCTAGGAGCAGTGCTTTTTGCATTGCTTGCAGCTGCTTCCCTGCAGCCAGACCTAACAGTGAGGCAGGTGCAAGGTGCCCTGGTGTATCGGCCTGTCTCTGAGGAAAGGGCATATTTGCATATTCTTTCATTTAGTTGTAGTCTGGAGGTGTTCCTTGCCTTGCTACTCTCACTCTGATCTTATCCGAAAGACCTGGCTCTGTGGTTTCTTGATGTTCTATTCCTATTGGGTAGTAGTGTAAAGGGATAAAATGTAAACATTTTGGTTATTATATTTTTAACATGTTTTTATTATATTTTATGAAAGCTTGCATTTTAAAAGACAAATATGTATTTCTGGATGCAGTGTTTAATTTCAAAACCCACAAACCCATAAAGGACTTTGTAATTGCAAGCAGGTAATACTGGTAACAGTGAAGTTATTGAGTTAGCAAGAATAGTGTCTTCAAATGCTTAATAATTTTCAGGTCTTCTAATGAGTTTGTTTTTGTGGTTTTAGACCAAATGACAGTGCAATGGCCAAATGATTTTAGGAATTAGAGGGCTTTAATCATGGATATGTGCAATTTATGAATTGTGCAGCTTCTCTGCCCACAGAACCTCAAGTGCAGTGGACAGGGTTAGTGTAGCCCTGCAGCCGTGCTATGCACAGTCCTCATGCAGAGCCCTGGGGTGTCCTGTGCTGTCTTCCCAAGTGTCACTGTGCAGTGTAGGGTTGGGTAGAGAGCTTGTTCAGATTCCCATGGCACCTGAAGCTGGCTCTGCTGAGCACTAGCACTTGCAGTCTGCTCTCCCTGAAGGTTCTTGACACCTTTGCAGTGTTCACAGTGGCTTTTCACACTACAAATACTCCTGTTATTATAACCAAGCTACTCCCTGATTGCACAGGGTTCCATTTGCTATCACTGTTGTCAGGTTAGCCTAACTTAAGTGAACTGCTGTAGACACAGGCTTCTTTCCTTGTATTTTTAATGACATCCACAGTGGAAGTGACAACAGTTGAGGCCATTTTGCCCCTGAGATTTATGTCTAGTGACAGCATCATATATTTGCTAATTGTGCAGATATGGGGAGAGAGCAGTACTCCTGCTGCCAGTCTCTGCATGTTTGCAAAGTGTTTTGGCAGTGCTCTGTCACTGCTTCAGTGCAAACCTTGGAAAGGACCGTGGTTGTGCCCCAGGAAGCCACTGGAGTGCAGAGTAGCACCAAAAAAGGTGCAGAAACACACAGTCTGTTGCAGCAATGCAAGCATGCTTTTGAGATGGTACAGAAGTTTGATTCTGCAATCTGTATTACGGTTTGTTTTTAATCCAGTAGCTGGGGGGAATCATTTAAAATAATGTGTGTAAATGGAGAATTAAACCTGTAACTGTAGTGTAAGTTGTGCTTGCCTTCTTTATTTTGGCTGCTGTCTCATTCTGTTGGAGTTTTCTTCTTTTCTTTGATTTCTGTCTACTGCTTTGAAGCATTAAGATTATAACTAGTTTTTCTACTGGTTGCAAAGTAAACTTTGTTATATTAACATTGGCTTATGTTTGGTTTTGCCTTAAGGCTGCTTAAGGGAATAATGGTTTTATATTTTGAGGGAAAATCTGTAATACATTCCTTCCACTGTTCAAGTGGACATAACATGGAGCAATAATATCCACTGTAATTCAGTGATAATTTTCTGCTGAATGTTAATCTTATTATGATGAACCTGAATGACCAATGTAATTGGCTGTTTAATGCAGAACACTCATCCCAGGTATGAGACACACCTTCAAGATTCATTGTTCATTGTGCACTAATTCACTGTTCATTGTGCACTAATAATGGGCTTTTCAAAATTATGTTTCCAGTGTACAGAATAGTAAGTTTTGCTTAAAATTGTTGTTCTTTTTATAAACTGGTCTAAGTTTGCTAAATAGCCCTACAGTGTGCATCTCCAGAGCATTTACTGCTCTTGGGAACTGCATTAGTGGCTTTTGAAATGAACATCAAGGTGTTCAGCTGCAGAATTTGCTGCAGTCAATCCTTCTTAGTACTTAAAGCATTGCAATGATACTACTTTTTATTAAATGTTATTATGCTTGTGAATATTGTTTGAAGAGCTTGTATGCTCTTTTATATTTTGAAATAGTGCTTTTGTTGTGATCTATGGATATATTTTTATATTTAAAGCCTATCTTGGGTACAGTTGTCTTTATCTGCTTCCTTCCTTCCCGTCCAGCCTGCAGAGCAGTACAGCTGAATATGAGGCGATCTGCAGCTCCAAGTCAAGTCCTAGGAAATGCTGGCAAAAAGCCAAGGTTTATACCACCAGGAAAATGTACTGCTGTTTGTCTCAAGAATGAAACTAAGGAGATGGACCAAGAAATTAAGTTAAAGGAGGTAAACTGAACAGTGCACTAACAAGTATTTGTACAATATTGTGATTAAAAGATAACATCTGAGCTCAACACAAACAATCTCTGCTTAGAAAATCTATTCAGAACAAATTTTGACAGCTTTGCTGTCAGTACCTTTGTCAGTACCTTGCTTCTCAGGTTAGGCTTCTCTCACTGTGGAGTGGTTGCAGAAAAATGTTTTTCAAATGAATAAAATTAATCAGTATTGAGACCAAATGCAATTCTCAAGTATAAATGAGGTGGGGATTGCATCTTGGCATGGGCTTTATTGTAAAAGCAGTTAAAGAGCTAGGATACTTGTTGTAAAGTCTCAGTATGCTGAGTTGCAGTTCTGCTGCAAAGGGACTTTCTCTAAAACTTTTAATACTGACACAGAAAAGCAGCACAATTTTTATTTATTTATCTACAGAAGACATATTAAACTAAATTAATAAACTATTTACACAAGTGTTTGGTACTGTGTGCACACATGTGTTGTTGTGATGCATATAGTTGTGCAGAGATGTGCATATTTATATAACAACTTGATAATGACAATTAATATGTCTTGAAAACCCTTCTTGTTGCTCTTTTCTCTATTTCTTTTCACCTCCATGCAGGAAATGCTATTGTGAACTTATTTCTCTTTTGCAGATAGTTGAGAAAGAGGGAGGTGCTTCATTGCTATCTAAAATAAATATCCAGAATCAAAATGAAAATTGTACACAGTCTGTGGAGTCAACTGGAAAAGTAAAGACAAAAGCATGTTTCAGCATTGACAAGTGTAGCAAGGCAGAAAAGAAAACGCTAAATGTGCCCAAAACTGGTAAGATGCTCTTTCTTTTTTACTACCATGTATCATAACAGAATTTTAAAGCTTATGAATGATAGACTGCATATACTAAACTTTTGTGAAGTAGTATTATAAGCATTGTGCAGTGGTGGCGTTGTTTGGTGTTATACTGGATAGAGTGAAGGAAACAAGTGTTAAACAATTTTTTTAATAAAAAAGGAAAGAACCAAGGTGTTTTGGAAGCCAATTGGTAGTGTTGCTGTTCAGGTTTGTGTCTTCCAGAAGAGAGAGCCTTATAGTCAACTCACTCTAATCTACAGTTGGTGCAATACAAGAATTGTAATACCTTAAATAGTGGGGAAGTGTTGTAATTTGGAGACCTTGCTGACCTCATGCAGAGAAAGCTAACCATTCTGAATGGATTCAGGTTTTTTTCAGAATTAATTAAGTTTTCTTTTCTTCAGTGTCTCCAGTGGGCACTTAAGGTTTAAGCCAACTTTAGCCACAGAGCAGAACTGGCTTTGCTCATTTGTGGGTGTGCACTTCATCAGCTGTGCCCTGGTAATGAATGCCTCCAAAAAACCAGGGTAAGCACTGCAGAGACGTTGAAGTGCCTGAACTATAGCAAGTGCACTTGGATGGACTTGAATAACATTGTGGGGTTGAATGTCTTCATTTCCCAGTATTGGTGTGCCCTGACCACAGATGCAGCACAGTTCTATGTTGTGTGAATGCAAGTCTATGACCTCAAGAGCCAAGTACATCTTGAAAGTCTGGCACTTGATGGATGAAAATCGCTCCTTTTGGAGCCATCTCAGGCATTTTAAACACCTGTCTTACAGTTATTTCACTCTTGTTTCTTTGTAATTAATTACACTGATAATGATGGTTTAAAGGTCATTTAATTAATAATACTTGGTGTAGTGAGTGCAGTTTTAAAAGAGCATTTCAGGGCCTCTTATCACC